AAATCCTGAAAGCTGTTTGAAAAAAAGTGTTTGTAGTTTGCTTTTTAAGTAGAGTATCCAGTCTGGGGAAGTGAAAATAATAGGTTTTTTGAGTTCCCCATAGTTACATAACAACACGCCCAAGTTGGTGCCCCATGGAGGACAGTGACAACTTTACACCTAACTATGCACTAGCTCATGTCATTCGAGTGACCTTACCGGGAGCTGCTTAGGCTCTGGTCCAATCGGAGCGGGGTGCAAATTTTTGCACGAGGACATTCTTACCTTAAACGATTTCTAAAGTACGCTGATAGACCAAAATCGGTGGATATCTCTTGACTTCAGTGGCCAATGTATCATGCTGGGTGTCATTCCACGAAGTGCGGTAGCCTTCCTGCCCCGCTGTTTGCCCAATGAAGTAGTACCGACAATTTAGCCATTACAAATGGTTTTTTCCCTTCTTTTCATCCCTCATGAAAAAGCACTCTTGGTGGTCGACTAGTTAATTGAGAGGGTTGTTTCAAAGCTCTAAAGTCAAGGGGATTCATGCGCATTAACGCCTTAGCTTCACTTTACATTTGGGGAAGGAGGAGGAGGAGGAGGAGGAGGGAGGGGGAGGAGGAGGAGGAGGAGGAAACATGAATCTTAACTGTGTGATTATTATTGTGTTTTGCAATTCTACTATAACTTGCAGTTTTTAAAATCGTCAGAACACGAATTGAACCAATTAGGCGCCTAATAAAAGAGGACAATAAAGTTTATGCTAAATTTAAATATAATTATCCCTCAAAACGGACTGGAATGTGTGATCGGGGCAGCAGCAGCAGCATCAGCGGCACCCACTTTCTTGACAGCCCATTTCCGTTTAAGAGGTCACTAGTAGCCATGAGAGAAAACACTTCCTCCTCAGCCATCCAGAGGCGTTACTCGAGTGATTCCAGTGAACTTTTTGCCTTCACACTGGCATACAATGTTTCAGAGAGACAGGTGCTGACAGAAGGGTGATGTACTCTTGTGTGTGTTTATGACAACTTCCACTGAGGCACAAAACCTGAGACACTTTTTTACCTCTTAGTCCTGCCTCCACCTTGTTTACATGCCCACACACACGCACGCACGTAGGCATGCACAGACCGGTGTGTGTGTGCACGGCAATGTTGCCAAAACATCTGCACGTAAACACACAGGTCAAGGTTATCCAAAGACTACACACGCAGGCACTCACGGCCGCACGCACACCTTCAAGGAGGAATGCAAAGGTGATTGGATGAGAGACGTTGAGCCAATAGGGAGGTGCACGCACGTAAACACAGCCAACGACCCTCATGTCAGGCACACAGGGGTGAGCGCGCTTGAAGTGCGTGCGTCTGTGTCGACAAGGCGTGAGGTACGACAGGCGTGCGCACGTAACCATGCACGCACACACGCACGCACTTACGCGTGAAGTGACCTAGAGAATGCAAAACGGACGTGGGCGACATATAATTCTGCTGCAAATCTCGTGTTCTCTATTTC